GGGACCAGGAAAAGCTGGAGAGATGGGCAGAGAGGAGCCTCGTAAAGTTCAGCAAAGACAAGTGCAGCGTCCTGCACCTAGGGAGGGACAACCCCAGGTACCAGTACAGGCTGGGGGTGACCTGCTGGAGAGCAGCTCTGCAGAGAAAGACCTGGGAGTGCTGCTCTTGAGCCAGAGCCAGCAATGTGCCCTTGTGGCCATGAGGACCAGTAGTATCCTGGGGTGTGTTAGGCAGAGAGGTGCCAGCAAGTCAAGGGAGGGATCCTACCCCTCTACTCAGGCCTAGTGAGGCCACTCCTGGACTGCTGTGTCCAGTGCTGGGCACCCCAGTAAAAAAAGGGACATGGAGCTACTGGAAGCAGTCCAGGGTAGAGCTACAAAGATGAGCAGGGGACTGGAGCATCTCTCCTGTGTGGAAAGGCTGAGTGATCTGGGACTGTCCGGCCTACAGAGGACAAGGCTACAGGGGGATATTATCGATGCATGGAAACACCTTAAGGGAGGATGTCAAGAAGATGAGGACAGACTCTTTTTGGTGGTGGCCAGTGATAGGACAAGAGGCAATGGCCATAAATTGAAGCACAGCAAGTTCTGCCTGAATACAAGGAAAAACTTCTTGATGGTGAAGGTGACAGAGTACTGGAACAGGCTGCCCAGAGAGATTGTGGAGGCTCCTTCTCTGGACATGTTCTCTCACCTGGAGGTGATCCTCTGCAACATGTTCTAGGTAAACCTGCTCATGCAGGCGGGTTGGAGGAGATATCAGTCATCCTGTGATTTGGTGATGCAGCACGGCTACTGAGAGAAACACCATCCTTGGAGCCGTCAGGCCAAAAGCTGCATCTTTTCCATGACTACCATGCCAGAGGGACCAGAACCAGAAGGTCCTCTCCTGGATGGGAGATCCTGCTGCTGGTCGTGGCAGGACGTCTTTGTCCTTCCCAGCCCCACAGGAGCTGCAAGGCAGTGACAGACGCCCCTGGCTGCACAGTGCTGGGCTCTCAGCTCCGGCAGGTGTCGGGCCGAACAGGAGTAGGGATTGCAGGAGGGGAGATGTCAGCACTGCGGAAAGTGGTGGCTCCCCAGCTCCCTGCGCTTGCTGCTCCCTCTCCTCCTCCTCCCGCACTGGCAGGCTGCAGTCAAGGCCACCCACTGCAGCCCCTCTCCCCAGGAGAATGGAGAAGACTCCGGTGCCTTTATAGCATCAGGAAAACCAGCTGTTTGTGGGGGGGAATGGGAAGCAGGGGAAAAATAAAAGAAAATAAACAAACAAACAAACAAGGCAACAGTTTTAAAAATGTCCTTCATAGATCACACTCACCCTACTGTAAGACTTTCCAGCACAACAGCCAAATTCCAATTCTCTAGTTGTTTTTGTGCATTGCATTCACGCAGTAAAACCAAACCAGAGAATATGTCTGCACAAACCGGCACAACCCACAGCCGAGGGAGTGGGTCCCTGTGACAGAACATGTGCAGAGCAGCCTCCTGGAGCACAGGAGGACGTGCAGGAGGGCGGCCGGGCACAAGCAGCCCCCATAGTGCTGGGGCTCCCGCCTTTCTCAGGGGCTGCCCACCTCACACAACAGCTCCCCTCTCTCGTTCCAGCTTATGACAAAACACTCTTTTCTCCAAAAACTCAACAGTACGTTGCAGGCTGCAGCTACATTGCCAATGCCATATAAATTTCCATTAATCAAAAGGGTGATACGGCCACAAAATAAACATTGCTGCAACATTCCCTTGTACGTGCCCTTTGATAGAAAACTCATTTTCCCCTCCAGAAGGGCATGTCAGCTATCAAACTTCCAGGAATAAACAGCTTGGAAGATAAAGTGCTTTCACAAATCATGAGCACTACACGTAGGTTTGCTATCTTGATTCTCAACTTCTTTAGAGGAGATATTTAAGTTTTTGTAGGCTTGGGCTTTGTTCTAGCGCTCTTTCATCTTTGTCCAGAAAAGTTCATTCAACTTCAGTCAGAGCAACTGAATGCCGCAGCTCTACAGTTGCCCCCTTGCTGTGAGTACTCCAAAGAACATGGATACTCTGGATTTCTTTTCCTCAGCTAACTTGGTTAATCAGGGTGAGCAGCTTCTTCTCTGATAGTTATTTTCGATGCTCACTTCTTCTTCACTTTTTAAGCAGGAAATAACAACACAATAAACCTCATAATCAAAGGCTCCTAAGTCTAATTCCTCCCTCAATCTTTTATATAGTGGCAATTAAACGTATCTTTTCCACAGAAACAATAACTCTCAGTAAGCCTTGGAAATGTAATAAAACTTCTCAGGCTCCTTTGATGAGTTTGCCAGGTGCCGGGGGGCCGCTAGCACCGTGCGCTGGCTTGGCCACATCAAACTTGTTGCTCGCCCTTGTAGATGTGCCCTGGAGTTTGAGCAGCGAAATGCAGGGAATATCGATATTTTAGTGCGTGTTATTCCTATTTTGTCTCCTCTGCTAGCAGAGGAGGTAACAAGGACATTAAATGAAATGGCTAAAAGCCAAAAATGACTTCAGTTATTTACAGGCCTGGGAGCCCGCAGAATAAACTCTTCAGAATAATATTAACTCAAAAGGAAAGCTTTATTTGTAAGAGGGATTCGGCTTGATATTTTCAAGTGTTCATTATAACTGATCCAAAACATCTGGGATACTTCCTGCCAAGGATACTAATCTCCATGCAGTTATGACAGTCACATACATCCACAAAAGAAGCTATCTTTCAAGCTAAGAGAAGCAGGCAGACAACTACCCACTCCAGGAGCATGTTCTGGAGGGCACAGATGACGACAAACAACTACCCCGAAGAAAGGTCATGTTCTAACTCCAGACACCCACATGGGATGCCCAGAGCCATTGCGCTGCAGAGCCCCCGCAGCTCTTGGGACGCTCCCAGGCAGCTCGGCAGGAGGCTCCGGGGTGCTGAGGGGCTGCCCTGCTGCCAGGCAGCAGTGCTGCAAAGGAGACAAGTGCCGGGACAGGGCGAGGGGCAGATGCAGCAGGACAAGCAGCCGGCACTGCCCACTGTCCTCAGCCTGCTTCTCGTAGGGAAAAAGATGAGATTTTGGGGAGAGAAGTGCTGTCACAAGGAGTGCAGGAAACAGAAGTGATCCTGGGAGGAAATGAGTGTAGGAACCTCCACATTATAACTCTCTGCTGGATACTAAATACGCCAGGCTTCTAAACAACTTGATCTGGAAGATTATAAACAGGGCTGCATTTTTTGGTGGCTGCCAAACCCACATAAATATTCTACAACTTCATTAGAAGAGGAGGAAAAACAAATTAAATTATTCCTCTACAAATATAGTCTTTTGATTTTTAAAGTAAACACACACAGATATATTTATATATTTACCTATGTTCCTATATATATAAATCACTACCAAAACAGGAGAAAAAAAATACTCTCAGAGCAGAATTACTTCTGAAGTTTAGAGCCAACAGTCACACGTGAAG